TTGTTGGTTGTGCTGCCATTCACACGGCAGCTTCTGCACTGCTATGCAGCCAGTGGTGTAACGAAAAATGTGTCCAAGTAGTTGATACTGTCAGTTTTAAAATGTGCAGCTTTGGGGGTACTGAAGTGGGTGAATTGGAGGATTGCATGCTCTTGTGGGTGTGGAAAGGAGATGTAAGAGAGTGATGGACTTGGGGAGTTAGTAGGATGAAGATTGTTTTTTGTTTCCATTCATCTCACAGGACACTGCATTTTAGCAAGCTCAACAGCTATTTTCTGTGCTTGCTAAAAATGTTCTTAGCTAGAAAAAGAAAACCTAATGAAATACCACAGATAATGACTGGTAAGCTGCAGTATATTACATTTGTATTCTTGGGTTTAGTTATCCTTTACAATTTGCACTCTGAATTAAAGGGAACAGATCGCTGGTAGCAGTGTTCAAAGGTAATCACACCATCCATTCCAACACGCCTTAACAAACGGGACAGTGACTACAGTTATTTGAATCTTTTTGGCATCATGAGCATCTCTTCACATGCATGTATTGCCAGCAGCTTTCCTGACCTCAACCTCTTTTCTAAAAATACGTTAGTGAAGTTTGATTTCAGGAATACATTTTGCAATGTCTTCTCCTTGGTTCATGCTCAGTACTCTTAGCCTGAAATCTCAGCATGTTGTTCTTGGCTGGGGCTTTGCACCATCCTTCTCCTCATGTCATTGTCCAGGACTAAGGTATTTTTAAACTTGCACAGCAGCAAACATCGTGGGAACATCCTGTTAGACTGTGACTCCTCCTTATTTCTCAGATACATCCCTTTACACTCCTATCCTTGCTTCCCCAGAAAGGCACATCGTCTGACTCCAGTCATTTGAATTACTATCCTTACAATTTCCTTGTAACCGTCTCACTTGTATCTTGGGCTGTGCAATGGTATGCCATGCTTACAATATAGGAATAGGGGCATAGGTCGAATACATTTTAGTATTTTTTATAAAATTGTATGTTAAAAATACACTTTAAAAACAGTCATAGATCATAAAAGGAAAATGCTATATTGCAGCTTTGGAGGCTTCAGAGATTGTGACTAATAAATAATGTGAATAAATAAGTTAGAACTAAAAGTCCTTTGTAAAAAAAACAAAAAACGTTTAACCTGTGATTAGTCATCCAGCTACTGATGGCTCAATCATTACATGGAGAGTATTTTTGTTTTTTCATCAATGATCTGCCCATGTATGATCAGCTTAATTGGTATGCAAACCCTAACGGTTAGCTTCTCTTATTTAGGCTCTTTTGATTTTAAATATGCCATTGAAAGCATTTTGTTATATCTGTTTAATAAGTGCAAAAAATAGCTGTTTCGCCGGGAGTCTGTTTAAACAGCCCCGATGCTGGCGACGTACACTGTACGTCGTCAGTCACGAAGGGGTTAAAATATCTTGTTATTTGATAACTTTCTGTGCTGCACTCTTATCAGTTACATAGTTCTCAACTGTAGATGTCCTATCATGCATTGCACTACTTCTCTGCTGCGCAAGGGCAGAGCGACAAGGCTTCAGCCAGAAGAGGCGGGTCTTTGGTATTGCAGGCTGTTTGTGTGTGCGGGCACAGACAGCAACATAACGTAGAAATGTATTCCCCAGCACAGGAGAGCGCACTAGAGGGTGGCTTCATAGGACACAGTCAGAGAAAGGAGTCACCCTCAGAACGGAAGTGAATATCAGCATTGGGGGGACTGAGAAAAAAAACAGGTCTGCAGACTTGGAAAAACAGCATAACCCTACAGAGAACCTCCCAGCTATGTTATGGAGAAAGAAAGGTGTTTGTTGTCCTGCCCTAGTGTGGCAATGCTACTTCTAGATAGATGATATAAAGCAAGTGAATGTTGTCACCCTTGGACAAGAAGTGTAGGATAATTAGTTTAAAATATAGGGGGGTAAGCCTAAAAAAAAAGCCTATTGCAGCCACCACAGGACTGGTAAACTGCAATATATTCAATTTTTGTTCTTGGGATAGATGCACTTTATTTGAAAACATTTCCCAAGACAAACATGCTAGTTGCCTGGCTGTCACGCGAACTCTCTCGCTCCAATACTTGAGAGTTACGGACTTTCCTAATTCTAGGATTGTAAAGTATTAAAGCCAGATGGTCAGAATCACAGAAGGAGGTCAGCTATTGCAGCCACCTCATTTCTCTAAAGATTTCATTTAAAATAAAACTGAAGTCAGGAAGAAAAAAATCTAATAGGCACCTTGTATGTTTCTTCTGAAAAAACAAAACAAAAACCTTTCCCTTTTTTGCTAGCATTTTGTTTTATTTACACTGCCTGCTGTGCATGTGCCAGTGTACACTGCTGGCATCTTTAAGAGGTGTGTAGCTGAGTTCTGGGATGGTGGAAGTCCATTACACGTGTGCCCTATTGCTGAAATAGAAAGACCTTGGCAGCAGAAGAAGCTTCAGAGACGATGGCAACAAAGAAGCGACATTGCCGGAGGCTCAACTAAACTCAGCTATAACGCCACCATGTGCAAGTATGCCGTGCTTATGGGAAACGCTCCTTCTGTACTCCCCCTTTAGTACAGATTTAAGCTGCTTTTTAAATAAGCTAAGGAAGCTTAGACGCTAGGGTAAATCGGTCCTATGTTTCTATGTTATCGTAGTCTCCATGGTATTTGAATTCACGTTAGAATCATTTTGAATATTATTTCCATGTACATTTGAATATACGCTAATATCATTATCACCGTGTTACCTTCATTTTACTTTCAGTAAGATATTTGTGGGGTTTTTTCATTAATATGTGCACAGCCAATATTTTTCCTGTTTTAAAACCTCCAAAACTGAACATGTAAATCCCAGTTTCTCTGGCCTCTGTCCACTGCAAGCCGAACCTTCACAGGGGAAGAGGTGGGCACATTTCCTGTCTCTACCCAGTTAATGGAAAGTGACTTATTAACTGGATGGTTAGAGCAAGGGAAAGAGGCAGCCAAACAAGGATAAAAATAAGTATGTGGAAAAAGAATTCAAGAGCAGTCAAAATAAAAAGTCTCTTGTGTGTGTGTTTAAGAAAAAATGTACTTTAAATATATTTTCCATTCCATTTTTTTAAAGAATTAGGCTTCACATTTAAAAATGATAAAACAGTTATTGGGTAATACCTGTGTTTTAGGCGGGGGTTTAATTCTGTTGAATCTGCTGCTTTTTGACAAAGTGGCATTTTCTCTGCCAGATGTATATACTTTTTAGACAGTCTTGCTTTTAACCATGGTAATACGATATAGGCTGAATGTTGAAGAAAATCATCAAAAGCAGATTTCGGTTTTCTTTGAGGACTTATGAGTTGAATCACTGACTCTTACATTTTAAAGTATAACTGAAGGCATTCTATAGCATTCTGGAGTCTCTTGACTTTTTAAGGCCTAGCTGCCAGCTTTATTTGTGGAAATGATCTGTGTTGTGTATTTAATTTCCTTTTTAAAGGGTACCTTGCACTAAAATCATGAAAACCCAGTTTATTAGCCCAACAAGCCCCCCACTCCCGCCAAATCTAAAATTGCTACCTAGAAATAAAAAATAGCAGTAAAAGATACTACAAACCCCAGCTTCATTTTCCAAAATAAAATACTGAGAGGTAGCATTTTATGACAGAAGAGTCTGTATGTTTTTTTTGGCATGAATGCTTTTTTGCCTGTCTGCATTTTTTTTAACGCATGTGTGACTTTTCAGCAAGTGTACAATCTCTGCATGTTTTTTAGCCGGGATTAAAATGTTATTAAACCCTCAGGTTTTTTCTATTTGCATATATCTACTGCTAGCATGCAGTAGATATATGCAAAAACTTTTTAAAAAGAACAAACTTTCAAACAGGTTTAAACTTACCTGTGTCTTCACCGTGGGTCCCCGTCCAAAAATCTGAAAAATCTCAGGCCGCCGCAAAGCATCTTGGGGTGGGCGCATGCGCGGTTTAGATTTTCGGCCGGGAGACGAGGAGAAACACAAGGTAAGTCTATTGAGCAGCAATCACCCGCATGCAGACTCCGTGGGACAGGAAGTGCCAGCAAGCACAGAGGAGTCGGCGCTGGATCGGAGACCCGCAGCAGCGCTGGAGGGACAGATGAAAAATACACTAAAGAAGAAGAAGATCGGATTAAGAGACATCATTTAAGGTAAGTCCTTACACTAACATTGGGGGAGGGAATTTTTTTATATACTTTTAATGTCACTTTAAGTAACTTCCGTACGCAAGCCAGATCCCCGATGGGCCAATCGGGATGGCCAAAACTCCAAACCAAAAAAAAAAGACCAGAAATGATGGAAGCACTGGTGACAGAGCGATGTGGGAGAGCATGGACATCACATCGCTGGAGGGGGTGCTTTGCAAGGTAAGTGTGCCATTATTTGTGACACTGCTGAGAACACTTGCACAATATAGCAAGATTTCCTGGGGAGACCCAGATTTTCCTGCAGTTTACTTTCACTGTAACTTTATTTACTGTGTGTTTGTAACCTCTAATTTATTAATGTCAATAATATTGGCCATGCTTGTGAATTCTGAAAGTTCATTAAAAGGACCAGTCCACCCAAAACAGATGTATCAGTTTTATTAAATGCTGGAGAGTTAAATTATCAGATAATTTCTTGTGTCTCTTGGGATCTAGATTGGCAAAAGATCCATGTTTTAGTTCATAAGTCTACATGCCTGTTTTAACTATTTTGAGCGACTCCCTGATGGATTTTTTATTAATTTTATATTTTGGGAGTGTGCAACAGGAGGTGCCTAAACACATATAAATGAGTAAAACATCCTGAACTCTCAGGTGGACATGAACCACATCCAAAATGATGGGAGGTATGCTTTTGGAGTGTTCATGACCTATAAGCAGCAGTTAGTTAAGCTCCACATATCAATAGAATATCACTTTTGGGTTGGCTGAACCTTTGTAGGGATTCTTGATGGGACTATTCTCCTAACTGATCCTCTTCTTTCTGCCTCTCTTAGCTTCGGAGAATGCAGCAGATGATTGCTCAAATGCAAGCTCAAATGAGGATGAAGCCCCCTGGGGATGAGTGACGAGCCCACTTTAAGGTAAGCAGAGTAGTTGGTCTTGTCCAGGTATATAATAAAAATGCAAGCCTGTTCCATAGGTTTCTAAATAGCCTTGTTCTTCTTGAAGAAATACAGGTAGTAGCATCATTTTAGGTATACTCTTCATATATAAGCTGGTATGTATTCATAGTTGCATAATAAATAAGGTGGAAAAAAGACAAAGGTCTATCCAATTCAACCTCGGTGTGAGTTTTGTGTGTTTAATTCCCCCTCTAGTTCTCTCTAATGCAGATGGGCCGGTCTATGCAGACATGACGCCGCGACCCACTGGTCGCATAGGTGTGCACCGGCCCTTAGTGTTTTTTTTATTTAGCATTAGTGGTCAGCGCCAGGGATTGAATTTGCCACTTTGTAGATTATTTTCCTCACAGGAATGATTGGTTTGAAATCATTTGGCAAACATTTTATCTCCCTTGCCAGACTAATACGCATCTACACCTTCTTTCTGAGGGCCTTAGAGAGCTCTTTTGATCTTGTCATGATGACATCATACACATCAATAGCAAAGCGACCACCAGACCCTAGATATCTGAGGTATAAAAAGGATGGGTTTCTACCTGCATACTCCCTAAGGGGGTTGCAATGATTGTCACCTATTCTGATACACTAAATTCTAATTTCATGGATTTGAAGTGGTGGTGAATATACAGTAATCTCCCCATTATCCGGCATTCAAGCAACTGGAAAAAAACAAAGACATAATATGTCCTCAATTTGTTTGTGGCTGGTGGCTTGATGCACATTAAAACAAGGTCGGTTGCTTGGTGCACACAAAATATTTTTTGTTAGCAACTAAATATATTTAGTTGCTAAGAAAATTCTTTGTTTTAATTCTGCTGGGGGCTAGATTCTGTGGTGGGCAGCAGAATGTAAACAATGCCGAGAAATAGCCAGCCTGCTATTGGCTATTTCAAATTGCAATAACAGGCTGGCTATTGTGCCCGCCCACCGAGCAGAGGAGAGCACCTGAGGGAGAACTTTCTCAGGTCTGCTCCTCTGCTCGGTGGGTGGGGTTTCAATAGCCTGCCTGCCTCCTTGCTGATTGCTATAGAAACCCCTGCCCACTGAGCAGAGGAGCGGGCCTGAGATAGAACCTTCTCTCTCAGGTCCGCTTCTCTGCTCAGTGGCCAGGGTTTCAATAGCCAGCCTGCAGTTGGTGAGAGTTGCTGTTAACTCTCAAGCAACCAGAAACTACAGTTTATCAAGCACCTCCGATCCCAGTAGGTGCCGGATAACTAGCCATTTATTGTATGCAGGTGTATAACCATTATCTGTAAGCAATATTTGAATCAAGATGTAATGTTTGCCAGTTCAAACATGTTAACATCAGTGATTTCCATGAGGTGTACTTACTATTTCACATGACAGTATTTACTGAATAGTACAGTCAGTGTTTGTGAAATCATAGAATGAGGCGTTAACACATCTGTGTTGTGTTTTGAATTTCGTAAAATGTCAGATTGTGGATGCAATTGCAAGGTGTTATTGGATTCCAAGGCAGAAGATAGTTTGAGTAGCTTTGTGCATACCTTAGTTAACCTGGCAAGTAGTAGTAGAATAAATGTGTGGTTTGTGCTTGACCTTACATCACTATTTTTGTCATATTCCGCGCATTGTACTTGTCTGTGACACTCCCATTCCAAGATAAAAATATTCCTCTACTTCCCCCAATCCTTTCCTGATCTGAAGCTCTGCAGAACAAATGTCCCGCAGTAGCCACTGTAATCAGAGTCTGATTAACTGATGCAACCTTCCCTTCAGGGGATTTAGATTTTCATAACAAAGAAGTCTCTTATCTTCCATGTCTCCCACTATAGTTTTCCTGATCTCGTCTTTTACGTGATTCCTTGCCATAAACAACGACCATGACCTTGTTCTATTTCTATGCAGCAATTTTAATATGGACTGTGATTTTTGTTTAAAAGTTATTTCTAAATTCGAGTATTCTTGTATGTAATTGTTCCACTAGAGCTTTATGGTGGCTGTACACACTGCAATGTATGCAGCAGCATCAGCCAGTCTGCAGAGTATTTCAGTCTAAGTGACAGATTGTATTGAAACCAATAGGTAAACATTAGGTTGGAGATGTATACTGATGGCTTTCATTGGTGGATGCACATGACCATCTTTTATCAATGCCTCTTATTGACCTGTACGTATGGCCACATACACATACCCTAGGAGGGCACTGTAAAGGTTGCAGAGGGGTGACAATCTCCTTCATTTAACGTGATTAAGACACAGACAGAAATCTAAAGCTGGTTGTACACTGCTCAAATTTTTCTGACTTCCCAGAAATTTCAGCAGTGTGTGGGCCTGGCTGTCAGAAAACAAAAGCCATCAAGGGGTATTCCCCCATCCATGCTGTTTGATGTGGAAGGGGAGATCAAGCTTTTTCCTGCCCTTGTTCAGTCCATGGGGCCATACGAGTAAAAATGCTGAGTGTATGTCCAGCTTAAGTTGTGTCTTTTTATTAAGCAGCAGGACCTATATTTTTCACAAGCCTTACATTCTGAAGAAAAAGCTTTTGTGTAGTAAAGTTAGGCGTTACTAGGAGGTGCATCCATGCTTCCTTCATTCAGACCCCCCCCCCCCCACACACACACACACACCCTCCCCCACACCCACCCCCACCCACACACACACACACACACACACCCACACACACACCCACACACACAACACACTCACACACCCACCCACACACACACACACACACACACACCACACTCACACACTCTTTTTACATTCTCAGTTGAATACATATAAATGTGTGTCGCTTTGACATATATGTGAATCTGACACGGTCAGACAGGTTTCTAGAGCTAGGACTATAATTAGTTTTTATTTTCGTGCCAGCAGGCTTACCTGTAAGACACAAGGGGCTGTCTAGCATGTCCTTATTTAAATGGGGATGTTTTGCATGGGTCATCAGGCTATCAGTCTTTTTTTCGGTTTATCAAGTGATCTTAAACAGTTAAAAATGCTAAAATCTATTCTCAGTGCTAACTGTTTCTAAACCTTCTGCTTCCCCTGATTAAGAAAACATGGAAGAAAAGCCATGTTTGATGAGTGCCTGGAATGGCTAGGCAGCTTCTGTCTGCAGGCTCCTGACCTGGGGTCACATGAGGTTTATATCTTCTGGGACAAGCACATATGGTAGACACCTGCTCATCCAAATGGCTTCAGTAGCATCCAAATCCTGTTTTTTTTTTCCCCTCTCTGTATAAAGCACGACCTTTGAAGTCTTGTGTGAAATTACAAACAGAAATTATTCCAATGATTGCAGCCTGACAAATAACAAACCAGATAGTCTTTCAAGTTATTTTGCCTCTTGTGCCATAAGAATTTTTCTAGCATTTGTAGCCTTTTTTATGCTTTTGAAATGTTGGTGACCCCATTATATTTTTTGGTAGACATCATTTTACGTTTAAAGAAAAACATCCCTAAAGATTGCAAGCCAATATACAAGGTATCTGGTAGTAAAACAATCTCCCCTGTCTGTTAATTTTTGTATTCACAATGCTGGAATCTCATATGAAAATCAGAAACAAAGCAGTGCTCTTGAGAATTGGAGGAAGCTTTTTTATTTTAACAGTGTTTAAGGGAGGAAGCTTTTTAATGGCATGTGTAGTCAACATGTATTTTTAACAAGTGCTGGTTAATTAGGAAAACAAATCTACCAATCAGTAAAAAAAAAGCCTAAGTAAATTTCCCCTGTAATAAGAATTCGGATTGAAGATGCGAAGGAAAAAGGGCAGAATTCCCATTCTTTGCCTCAGACTCTGTGTCTCCACTACTATGAGGAGTGAAGGTACTATACTGAGGGAGAAAACAAAGGCTTGCAGGTTTGAAGTTGCAAATCGTTGCAAATCGTCTAATGCCTTTTAAAGATGAAAGGGCTCAACAGTTCTCCTTCACCTTCCAGCATCCGTGAGACCAGACATGTCACTCTCCTATCAAACAGTGGACGAAGTTAAATGAAAAAAAATGTAAAAGGGGCCACGTCTGCTGAGTTCTGCAGTACATTCCAGTAAAAGATTATAGCACTTCTGTACAGTGCACCTTACCTCAGCCCGCTGTGCACTTTGCACAATACGCTATTTACATTTCTTGATTGTACATCACGGGACACAGAGTTAAATTCTTTAACCGCTGGGTTATGCAGCTAACTTCAGGTGATTGGACATTGGCAATCATAGTTGTTAGGACAGCTCGTTGTTTTTTGTTATTTTTGCTGGTGTCCTTTGGTGATGGACACCTTTTCTCTGCCAGGAGAGTAGTACATCATTATCTGCCTTTTCTACTGATGATCCTTCTAGCAAGTTTTCCCTAAGGCTGCTCTCAGCCACTGTGGCAACTAACGGCTATCCGGATCTTACCGTCCTTTTTTTTTTTTTTTGACAAATCCTGACATTACAAATCAGTAGGGTCAGAAGGATATCTTGAGAGGATCAATAGGCAGCTGCTGCACTGCCGATAGAACTTAGTTAAGGTCCCACAGCAGCAGTCCCATTTTCTTAGTCGCCTTCTTTCTCAGGGAGTGCGCAAGCAGGTAGAGAAAGATCAGAAGGGGACTTTGAAGGGGATGGAGAGGAGGGTGCTTATGCCCCTTACGGTCTGAGGACTCTAAGCGCAGACATTTTCCCCATTATTTCCACCATAACATCAGTAAATTCCTCTCTGGACAGTGTAGAAGAGGGTGCCATGGGGTGTGCTGAAGAGACCCAGAGGCGGCGAGCAGTGGGGCAAAAGAGCACAGCATAGGGCTTACAGACATCGTGTCCCCAGAACAGACCAGAATCCTCCCTTGAACCATTGTTAGGCTGTGAGACCCCAGAGTATGATGCTCATTCCTCCCTGCACCTATGATCTGCAACTCCCTGAAGGGGAATGACCCCAGTACCCACAGATTTTTAGCCTAGAACAATGGACCTTGTTGATTTATTGTTCGGTAGAACCCAGCAGGGGACAAAAGC